TTATTGTGACTGCAGCGCTGTACTTTCAATCGAAACACCAGTTATAAGTATAGCGTTTCAGTGAAGGATACACTGATTGTACTTTGGAGAGTAGAGATAGCACGTGGCTAAATATAGTTGTTGTAACGAAGTTTCAATATTTGTTTTCGCTCATCTATACAGAAGTATTGTAGAAGCCATAGAATTCTACAAGTGGTACTTCACTGGCCTTTTTTGCTACCTGTCTGTATGTGTTTGAGCGGCACTCTCAGTGCTGTATAGCGCAACGAAATTCTACGGACCTCTCAATTACAAAATATCTGTTCTACAAGCCCCAATAGAAAAATAGCAATGTTCCTTTCGTTGGGGCAACTTATATATGATGATAAATTAATTGAACGTTGCGCTCTAAAGTACAATCTGTTCTTCACTGAAATGTTACGCTAGTAACTGGTGGTTCAGTTGCAAGTATAGCACTGCAATCAGTAAAATCTCGCTGAAGGGATCAGTTAATAGTAGCGACTGTTCCCATTATTGATGCACTTTGCAAGCACAGATAGCGTCATTACACGCAAGGCGCATGGAAGCCGTTAATTTCGTAAACGCAGAAAGTTAGACTTGATATAACGAGTTTCTGCATTACAGATTTTGCAGTGGAATTCTCATTCCACTCGTGAAAATCGGCGAGAGAAGTGAGGGACACTGAAGTGGGAACATTTTCACTGAAAACCAATGAATATATATATTCATATATTCATCGGCCCGTCACACTTTCCCCCCATCTTTCTTCCTTCTATTAATTCAACTGGCAACATTTTTACAGACTCATTTTAAGAGAATACGAGAACTATGGTCGTGATAACTTAGGTGGAAATATATAACAACTTTAATGCCACATCTATTTAATTCGAGCACACATAAATTCTTTTCCTAACCTTGAAGAGAATGTGTGTTTGCAGCATAATACCATAATATTTTCCGCGTGATGTTTAGGATTAGTAATTCTCTGAATCCGCGTTATCAAAGTTCACGTTTGCTAGATCAAGCCCGCGGTTTAATTTAATCACTCTCTAAACTGTATTGATTTTTCAGACGACTGAAATAATTACAGCCGTACGTTTCACTGTACTCCGGGAAGCTGTTAATTAGTCACGCGAGTGAGCGTACAGGAATCCAGGGATTGATTGATCGATTGATTTTTCTCTCTCTCTCTCTCTCTCTCTCTCTCTCTCTCTCTTTCTCTCCCTCTCTCTTTTCACGGCGAGGAGCGCACGATTAAATTAACGAACGCGTTTCCAGAGACCGGAAAGTGGCCTGGAAAATGTTTTCGCGATTGGAAAGGTCGTGTCAACTGCATACTGCGTGACGTTCTCGATGCGTTGAATGCCGTCGGGGTCACCTTCGCTGAGGACGACCGCCACATATACTGACACATTAATGCACACGCGAAATGCAGCCCAGTGCTGTTATTCGTGGCGAGTTACGCGGCTGGACGGCGCGCAAACGGTTACACGTGGTAATGAGAATATTTCGCGCGCGACTCCCGGCGACGAATTCAACAGCCGCGACCGTTGCTCTTTCGTTCCCATTTCGCGATTTCGCACGAAAGCGATCACGAGCGAGTCGTCCGGCACGGCCGACGCTCATCCGTTGAATCAACAAGCGACGGAAATGCAGTTCGATCGACGTGCTCGAAAATGCAATCGGATAGCTACGAGTGCCGCTAGTATGCACTCGCGAGATCGTTAACGCGGCATATATATCGCGTCAAATTCGCGAACTTCCGATCTCGCCCAAGTGGAGTCCGCTACTGGAGTCCACACCGGTGGGACTCAATCGAGATAAAAGCGGGATAAACCGTGACCCCGTGATATTTTCGCCGACACAATGTATCACGTTTAATACTTCAATGACACTCAAGTTTATTGTGTGCTCGCAAATATAGATAATCACCTGAGGGGGTTAGCCAGAGGAGCCTGACGGGAGTGAAAATTAAGTAAAATTTGGGGAGTTGCAAAAAGTTGTAAATCAATAGAGATATAGCCCTTAACGTCCGGGGCTGCGCGCGCAATCCCCGGATATCACGACGACACGGCCGTGAGTTATTTTACTAATTCGCGAACTCATCAACCGGCAGCTGGCTGACTGACGTGCCTGAATATCGCGTTTTCCTCCCCCGCCGCTTTCAACGCAATCGCAATCTCTCTCGGCTTCATTTTTGCGCGGATGCGTCATTATACACGGCACAGGTATACACACCACAGGAAATCCGTCATTCTCGGGAGAGAGCGTTCGGAGAAACGCGGCCGCATTGCAATTAATCGATGCGTTTGCTCAAACTCAGTCGGTGGACATGACGCTGGCTTGTTGCGCGCGTGTGGGTGGGTGTGCACGCCTCTGAGAATGCACGGAAAAGCTAATTCGCCGTTTATGTGACAAATGGCGTTGAAAATATTTCCGCGTGTTTTCCGCACCGGCTGTGCTCAACAGCGCGGCGCGCCGAGACACAAAGCGTATCGACGTGGCGGAGATACAGTTAACGCGGTCCGTTAACTCCGCGGTACGCTCAACGCCGGACTTGATTCTTCGCGATCGCTCCCGAAATAATTCGCGACGACTAATGTGCGTGCACACGGCAGTGACGAATTGCAGCACGCACGCGCCTGAATTACCGTCGTTGGCAAGGATGCACTGCTCATACAGTTCTCGCAAAAAATCACGGGAAATCAGAGAGATACGCTAATACTTTCATTTCCTGTAGGAAAACGTATGACATACATACAGAGTGGCTCACGTGACAACCCAGAAACTCAAAAAATACTTGGCGTATCAAAAAGATAATTAAAAAAATATTAAGTTGTTCATGAGAAAGTTTCATGTATTCGAGAAGTTTTTCTAACTATAAGTAAGAAAACATACATACATTTTCTTAGAACTTTTGTTTTTCATGAAAACAATTGTTTATTTTATTTCAATGAATAAATTTGAATTTAAGTAGATATGTTATTAGTATCCACCGAGTATTTTTCATTTTTCAAATTTTTCTCTCACATGTATCCAAAATTTTAGATTTTCGTTATTATTTTTTAATTATTTTTTCCCTTACTAAAGTTGTTCATGAGAAAGTTTCATGTATTCGAGAAGTTTTTCTAACTATAAATAAGAAAACATACATACATTTTCTTAGAACTTTTGTTTTTCATGAAAACAATCGTTTATTTTATTTCAATGAATAAATTTGAATTTAAGTAGATATGTTATTAGTATCCACCGAGTATTTTTCATTTTTCAAATTTTTCTCTCACATGTATCCAAAATTTTAGATTTTCGTTATTATTTTTTAATTATTTTTTCCCTTACTAAAGTTGGCAACATCATATATTTTAATAGGAGCATTGTTTAAAGTGCTTCATAGTGATGATCATAAACAATTTGACGTTGATTTAGAGTCTGAATTAAAAGTTATTCTATACGGTGACATCAAATGACGTTATTATTGACGTTGGAAACGCCATTAATACGTCATTAAAACGTCATTCGATGTCATCACGTTTGCTGGACTTGATAGTTTTCCGCCCAAATCCTGAGTCAATGTAAAATTGTTTGTGCAATATAGATTAATCTCTAATTTTTTCATTATCCTGAAATATGGGTAGTATACGTAAGGGGAACGACGCGCAATTCGGTAAAAGTTTCCGCGAACTAAGCGCGCGCTATGAGCCGTGTAATGACCCAGCCGCTATGCATTTTAAAGCCTCGCGTAAATAAGTCTCCACATTAGCCCGCGACGGAATATCGAGCGTCTCGCCTTTATATTTCGGCGCACGATAACCACCGCTAAACCAGTGTAACCGTTATTCGCAATATTGAGGATGCTGAAAATTTTAGCGACAGAATACTGATATTTTCCTACGAAGTTTACGTTCTATACATAGAAAAGGATAGCGTGATTGTGTTAATGACGATCGTCTCTGCAATATCGACATTTGTCGAGTTCGGCTTCAGCATCCCCTTAAGTCAGGTCTCGGGAAACGTGTATTTATTTTTATCGAGTCGATTTCCCGGTCGCAAAACTACACAGATATAATAGTCGCGGACGACTGCGCGGTGCTGTGTCGAATGGTATAAAACCGCGGCAGATCACTGTCGCGTAATTGCATTTGTGCCGCTACCTCGTGACGAGAGTTTTCCGTGACGAGATGAGACGAGACGTGAACGCGAACGAGACATCAACGACGAGCGACGAGAGGCATGCTTAACGGCAAGACGCGAGGCGACAACTATAAATCGAGTCGTGAACTCGAGAATTCAACGCAGCCTGGAGCTCATAATCCCCGAAAAGATTTGCGGACCACCCGGCAACGCTCGCGAATTTCACTCGCAACGTTGGAGAGTTAACAGATTAGATCTTATTCCCCTCAATTTATGAGCTAATACCTTCCGAGCGAGTGCTTGATTTACGGCCGCAATTTTTCCCACAAGGCGCGCCTAATTCCGTCCCGGAGATTTCCGCGCGCCCGACGTCTCGTAAATTCGCGGGACAGCAAGCGAATCGAAATTAGGTTAAAAGTCGAACCTGCGTGCGCGCGCAAGTGTGTGTGTGTGTGTGTGTGTGTGTGTGTGTGTGTGTGTGTGTGTGTGTGTGTGTG